GGGAGGCGCAGCGCCGAGAGGCCCAGGAGCCTGGCGGCGGCACCGGGCCGCCGGGGACAGAGCCGAGGCACTCGGAGCGGATAACCTCTCCAGCCTCTTTCCCGGCCCTGAGCGGAGGAGAAGCGCGCAGGGTCCCGCGGGGCGTCGTAGGGATTCTGTGAAGGCCCGATTGCCGCGGTCGGCCCGGTGCTCGGTGTCAGCCTCAGGGCGGCGGCCGTGCAGTTCGAGCGGCAGATCCCGGGCTCACCTGGCTTCTCTTCCTTGCAGCTCTGCTCCCACCTCCCCCTTGAGGGCCCGGGACCGGCTGCCCACCCGGGAAACCAGCCTTTTCCCCGCAGGATGGACGAGGAGAGCCTGCAGAGCGCGCTCCGGACCTACGGCGCACAGCTGCAGCAGGTGGAGACGGCCTTGGGTGCCGGCCTGGATCCCGCCGAGCTGGCCGACCTGCGCCAGCTCCAGGGCGACCTGAAGGAGCTGATCGAGCTCACAGAGGCCAGCCTGGTGTCTGTCCGGAAGAGCAAGCTGCTGGCCACCCTGGATGGAGAGCACCCGGAGAAGGACGACACCGAGTACCTGGCTTTCCAGAAGGCCGTTGCTGAGGCAGTGGAAGTGCCAGTAGCCCCCAGGGCAGAACTGGACGCTGTTCCTGAAAGAGCGGCTGGGCCAGCACCCAGCAAGCCAGGACCGGAGGAGGCTGAAGGGGAGGACTCGGAGGACGAGCGAGAGCTGAGTGGGAGGAAGGTGAACGCTCCCTACTACAGCTCCTGGGGCACCCTGGAGTATCACAACGCCATGATCGTGGGCACGGAGGAGGCAGACGACGGCTCCGCGGGCGTGCGCGTGCTCTACCTCTATCCCACCCACAAGTCCCTGAAGCCCTGTCCCTTCTTCCTGGAGGGCAAGTGCCGTTTCCAGGACAACTGCAGGTAAAGCTCTGCTCCTGGACCCCAGAGCCACATGGGGGCTGGAGGCAGGGTCAGGGTCGTGGCTGCCCTCAGTGTTGGAGTCTTGTCCCTCTGTATCCAACAGAGTGCCAGCAGGAGGAAGCTGGGGCTGGTGCGTTTGAGGCAGTGTCTGGTTTAGGTGTTTCCATGGGTTTTCTCCGGTAAACCAAGAGTAGGAGAGGCTTATGTTGAAAAGAAGGGAACTCCCCCTCCATCACCAGTTGTATTCTTCAGGGTTAAACCTTTAAAATTTATGCTTATTATGGAAATATGCCACCATACTCAAAATTGGAGAGGGTGGTATGGTGACGTCCAACACTGGCACCTTACTTCATCATTTGTCATCGTTCTTCCAGTTTTGTTTCATCCACTCTCCCTGCCCTGCTTCTCTTCCCTGGACTACTTTCAAGCAAATTCTAGGGATTACTGGGTTTTTGCCTATAAGTACTTCAGGATGCATCCCTCACCTGACTGATAGGATGTTATAAAAAAAAGTCTCCACGTCGGCATACCTGACAGATTTAATGATAGTACCTTGTTTATGTTCAAGTTTCCACAAGTTTCCACAGTTGTTGCGTTGTCTTCTTTCTCTTAGTACATAACTTCAGTTTTGTTCCTTTTTACTTTATCGTTAGAAGGAATATTTACTGAAATCTGTAGTAGATAATTTACTTTTTTAGCCAACAGTCCAGAGTAACACTCTCTAGTTCTTTGGTTGTCCTATTCTTTTTTTTCTTCTTAATCCTCACTTAAGGATATTATTTCCATTGATTTTTTTTTTAAGAGTGGAGGGGAGGACAGAGAGAGAAACGTTGATGTGAGAAAGACACATCGATTGGTTGCCCCCCGGGTGTGCCCAACTGGGAATGGGGATCGAGCCTGAAACGGAGGTACGTGTCCTTGGCCAGAATCGAACCCGGGACCCTTCAGTCTGCGGGCTGACACTCTAACCACTGAGCCAAACCAGCCAGAGCAGTCATCTTATTTCTTAATAGACTTTTGCTAGGTCCAAAGTCTTACTTGGCAAATTTCTCTTCTTTCCCTCCCTCCTTCCTTCCTTCTCTGTACGTTTCATTAAAATGTAGCATGCGTCCAGAAAAGTACATAGATGAGAGTGTGCTCAGCCAGTTTCCAGAGTGGACACATACAGCACAGATGAAGGAGCAGAGGACTAAGCCTTACATCCTTTGTGCCCTGAGTCTCTGTACCTCCCTATGTGATGTCCCATGTGAGGGTTAGAGGTTGCACCTCTACCTACATTGCTTTTTTCTGTGCTGGGCACTCTTCCAGGGTCTCTTTCACACATGTTAACTCACCTGTGCAGCAACCCTGGGAGGTGGGCCCTCTGACCATTGAGGCTGCCCACTCGGAGCCACTCTGCTTTCCAGCATGGCTTTAGGCCCAGCTGACTCCCTGCAAACACCCACCTTCTCCACCCAGGACTGAGTTATTTTCTCATGTTTGCTTTGGGTCTTTAAAAACAATAAAATAGATAATGTGGAAGCACCCTTTGACCCCCATTCTGTCCCAGTGCCCTCCTCCTTCCTGGAGCTGTTTTTGTCACAACTTCAGTGTGTCTCTCTCTACAATCAGAGAAACTGATGTGCACACTCTGGTTTCTCCTGCTCACTGTCAGGCCTGCTGTGTCTGAGTGGCCGTGCATCCTTTCTCCCTGCTGTGTCTGGCCTCACAGTTCCCCTGTCAAAGGACCCGACCCTTTGAGCCAGCATTGAACCCCCTGGTGCAGTTCAGCACTTCCCTTTTCCCCATAAGCTGGCAGCAGGGTCCAGGGAACTGACCACACTTGTGGCAAAGAGTCTAGGTGCTGTTCTTGCATCAGGAGGCCCCAGGTGAGTGGTTTTCCTTTGTCGTGTTAGCAGCCAGTGATGCTCAGTACAATCTGTTGGTTCAGTGGGGATTGCAGTGTAGGGATCCTTCCATTCTGTAGGTTCATTTCATTAGCTGGAATGTTACACGGACATGCTGTCCCTCACCTATGGTTGGCTGCCCAGTGGCATAGTCACACAGAAAAGGTGGGAAAATGCTGGTGTTTCTGTTTTGTTTACTTACTTTCCAAGATAATGAATTGGTTTTCCTTCATCCTGAGAAAATGATGACCCATGGATTTATATATTTGGTGAATTTCAATCCATCATGATTCTGATTCTTATTGAGGCTCAGATTGTCCCATCTTTGGCAGGTGGGAGCCTCTTTGGGCTGGCACCTCTGCCCCTCTGGCCTCCGCAGTTGATGGGGAGAAGACACCCCTCTCTTGTGCATACTTTTGCTGCCCTAGCCTGGAATTAGCCCCAGCTCCCGGAGCCCTGGGTGCTCTCAGTGGGATGGCATCTCCAGGCCCACAGAGGGATACTACTAGGATTTGTTGTGAATTATTTAGGATTTTCGATGACATGATTGTGTCATTGGCAGATGGTGGTAATTTTACTTCCTCCTCTCCAGTCAGATGGCTTTTACTTCTTTTCTTGCCTAATTGCCCTTGCTAGAATCTGCAGTACAGTGTGGAGACAAGAGGCGAGAGCAGAGACCCTTGTCTTGCTCCTGCCCTTACCAGGGAGCTTCCATCAGCAGTGAATGTGAGGCCAGCTGTGGGCTTCCATTTCTGCCCTTGTCAAGTTGAGGAGGTTGCATTCTGCTCCTGATCTGTTCAGTGTTTTTATCATGAAGGGCATTGGATTTTTTCAGGTGCCCATTCTGCATCAGTTGACATGATCACATGTTCTCCCTTTGTTCTGTGAACGGGCCGTGTCATACCGAGTGATTTTCATGTGTAGAACCACCCTTGCTTTCCTGTAAAATGCTGCTGGAACCTGGCTGCTTGTTTTTTGTTGAGGATATTTCCATCTCTCCATTCCCAGGGGCACGACAACGAGGCTGTGGGTTGTTGTTTCCTTTTCTTGGAATGTCTTTGTCTGGCTTTGGTGTTAGGGTAATCTGGTCTCATGGGGCTGGAGGTGTTCTCTCATTTTTGGGAAGATCCTGAGAAGGACTGGTGCTGATTCTCTTTAAACATTTGATAGAATTTACCAGTGAAGCCTTCACTTCTCATTGCTGGAAGTTTTGTGATAAATGATTCTATTTATTTGTTATAGGTCTATTCAGATTTCCTGTTTTTCCTTGAGTCAGTTTTGGTAGTTTGTGTGTTTTTAGGAACTTGCCCTTTTCACCTGAGTTACCTAACTTGTTGGCATGGAACTGTTTACAGAAGCCTCTGGCAGTCCTGTGTGCTCTGTAGGGCAGGGAGTAGGGCCCCACTTTCTTTCCTGGTTCAGTCACTCACATGAGCTCTTATTTCTTGGGCAGTCTAGTGCAGGGTTTGTCAGTTTTGTTTTATTTTTTATTCTATGTTGTTTTTTATTTCATTTATTCCGCTGTTACCTTTATTATTTTCTTCCTCTGCTGCTTTGGGTCGGCTCTTTTTCTGACATGGATATGAGGTTTTTCCTTCCCAGACGCAGGCATTTGCAGCTTCTTTCCCAGCGAGCCCACGGGGTCTGTGTGTTCTTGTCACTCCTCTGAGGGTCACCTGATCTCCCTTTCAGGTCCTCATCGGCCCTTGGTCAAGAACGTGCTGTTCAGTACCCACAGATTGTGACTCTCTTGGGTCCCTTCTCCTGTTGACATGTAATCTCATCTCCCTGCAATGAGTGAGGGTACTTTGTATGAGTTCAGTGTTTTAAAATTTATTGAGACTTGTTTCAAGGCCCCATCTATGTCCTGTCTTGCAGAATATTCATATCACGTGGGAAGGCCGTGTGCTCTGCTATTGGGCAGCCCGTTCTGGAGGTGTCTGCAGGGCCGGTTGGTCTGTTGTGTCCACATGCTCACGACCTCCCTTTCCCTGGGGTCTTTTGCTTGTTTCTCTGCACTGTTGAATGTGGGTATTGAAGTCTCAGCTTTTATCATAGTTCATCCTTTAATCCTGTCAATTTCAATTTCATATATTTTTGGGACTCTGTTGTTAGGTGTGTAAAATTTATAATTATTATATTATCTTCCTCATGGGTTGATGTTTTATCAACGTATTTTTCTTTATCACTTATGTCCTTTTTTTTCAATTACAGTTTACATTTGATATTATGTCGTATTAGTTTCAGGTGTACAGCATTGCTCTTCTTTATCTGACACCAGTGTGGCCATCCCAGCTTCCATTACTATTTGCTTGAAATATCTTTCCTTTTACTCTCAACCTATTGTTATCTTGATCCAAAATTAATCTCTTATAAATAGCGTGGAATTGGACAATCTTTTAATCCATTTTCCTAATCTCTGCCTTTTAGTTGGAGTTTAATCCATTTACATTTAAACTAATTACCAAGCCCTGACCAGGTGGCTCAGTTGGTTGAAGCACTGTCCCATACACCAAAAGGTTGTGGCTTCGTTTTCTGGTCTGGGCACATATGGAGACAACTGATCAATGTTTCTCTCACATTGATGCCCCCCCCCTTTCTCTCTGTAAAATCAATTTTTAAAAACAGATCCTCAGATGAGAATTAAAAAGAGAAAAAGTTAAAAAGATAATTACTGATAAACAAGGACTTACCTGTGCCATTTTTTTCTGTATGTTTTATATCTTTTTGTTTCTCAATTCCCCCATTACTGCCTTCTTTAGTGTTTGTTTTTTCCACTGTATCATTTTTATTTCCTTCTCTTTTCCTTTCCTGCTTACAGGGTGGGGCAAAAGTAGGTTTACAGTTGTTTGTATGGAAAATAATACAATAGTTAATAAATAATAATACAAGAATAAACTCTGTGTTTCACATACGACTGAAAACCTACTTTTGTCCCACCCTGTATTCTGTGTTATTTTCTTCATGGTTACTCGGGGATTGCGATTAACATCGTAGACTTCTAACAATCTAGTCTGAATCAATACCAAGTTAGCATCAATAGGATACAAAACTCTGCTGCTGTGCAGTCCCCCTTATGTTGTTACTGTTACAAACTACACCTTTATACATTGTGTGCCCAGAAATGTAGATTTGTGATTACTGCTTTATGCATTTGTCTTAAATCATATAAGGAAAAAAATGAGCTATAAACTTAAAATATACTACTACTTGCTTCTGTCTTTATCTCTGTGGTTACCTTTACCAGTACTCATATGGCCTGGGTTACTGTCCAGTGTCCTTTCATTCCAGTCTGAAGGACGCCCTTTAGTGTTTCTTGTAGGCAAGTCTACCAGTGATGAACTCCCTCAGCTTTTGTTTACATGGGAATGTCTTCACTTCTTCATTTTTGAAGGATAGTTTTGTCAGAAATATAATTCTTGTTTGACAGTATTTTTCTTTCAGGACTTTAAATATATCATACCACTGCCTGTGGCTTCCATAGTTTCTGACAAGAAATCAGCTGTTAGTCTTACTGAGGGTCCTCACCCATGAAGAGCCCCTTCTCTTGCTGCCTCTACAATGCTGTATCTGTCTTTGAGTTTTAGCAGTTTGATCACAATATGTTGTATGGGTCTGTTTTTACCCCTTGGAGTTCACTGAACTTCTTGGATGTATAGATTCATGTCTCTCATCAAAGCTGGGAAGTTTTTGCCCTGGCCGGTTTGGCTCAGTGGTTAGAGCGTTGGCCTGTGGACTGAAGGGTCTTGGGTTCTATTCCTGGCCATGGGCACGCACCTCGGTTGCAGGCTTGATCGCTGGCCCTGGTTGGGGCACGTGCGGGAGGCAACCAATCAATGTGTCTCTCTCACATGAATGCCCCCCCAACTGCCCCCCCTCCTTCCTCTCTCTCTAAAAAGTAATGGAAAATATCCTTGGGTGAGGATTAACAAAAACAAACAAAAACGTTGGGAAGTTTTCAGCCATTATTCTTTAATTCTGCAAACATTTTTTCTGCCCCTTTCTCTCCCTCTTCTTTTGGGATTCTCTTAGGCATATTTTGGTATACTGTGTATTTTAGCATGTTTTGTAATTATTTTCTTAATAGCCAGACGTGAAGTACTGGCTAAAAAGAACTGCTGTAACAGGCTGTTAGTGATGAGGTGGTGAGAACGAGGTGACACCCTCTAATACCTGCATTCGCTCTGTCTTCGTGTAAACCCAGGCCTCTGGACTGGGCTTCATGTGTGCATCTCAGTCATCCACGCACACATGCACACACAGGTGGGGCAGGGCAGCTAAAGGAAGCTGCGTTTGGGTGTTTCCCTAACCCCCAGCAGGCGAGGCTCTGGGTAGCTGTCCCTGCGGGCAGCCTTGATAAGAAGAGCTGAGTGCTCTGGTGTATTTCTAAATGGTTTCTTCTCCCCTTCTGGTGCCTGAGCACAAGGGGACTTTTCTCCAGTATTTACTGTGAGAACCTGGTAGAGCTCCTGGAGTATAATCACCAATGTGGGGGATGCCCCTAGGACAAGGGCCCCCCTGTAGGTTTTAGCTCCCAGACTTGTCCATGCTGAGCCCCCAGTAGTCGGCAGTCATGGTCTAAGGTCCCTTTCCTGCCCTGGGTCCTGTGCCAGTTGCTGCTGGTGGGTTTCTGCTCTACTAAGTTGTGATTCTCTGTATTCATCTCTCGATTCTCCATATTTGGGGCAGCAGTTTGCCCTGTGACCTTACTTCTCTTATGGATCTAAAGAAAGTTGTTGATTTTACAGTTTGTTCCACTTTTTACTTTTTGTTAGGACAGAGGGGTGACTTCTACGCTTCTTATGTGCTAGACCAGCAACCAGAAGTGTCTCATCTAATGGATTTCTCATTTCAGTATTGACTTTTCAGCTCTGGAATTTCCACTTGATTCCTTTTATATAATTTCCACTTCTCTTTAAGATTCTCTATTCTTGAATCATTACTATTATACTTTCATTTAATTCCTTGAACATACTTATACTCTCAACTTGGAAGTCTTTGTTGAATTCACCATCTTTGCCCACCCAGTCAAGTTCTGTTAATTGCTGTTTTCCTAAATATGGGTCACACTTTTCTGCTCATTTACATGTTTAGTAAGTTTTTATTGAAAACTGGACATTTCAATGATATATTGTAGCTACTCTGGATTCTGAATTGTTTTTTCTGAGTGTTTTGTTTTGTTTTAGTACATTTTCTGGACCTAATTACAAAATCTGTCCCTCTACCATAGTGTGCAGCCTCTGATATCTCTGCTCAGATTTTAAATTTAATTTTACTTTTCAGTCTGGCTTCTCAGGCATCACTCTGTGCAGCTTAGTGGTCCTCCAGTGACTTAGAGACTGTGCTCAGACCCTTCCCAATCCATCTAAGTGAATTGGGGAGTCTCATTCCTAGCTCAGCCCCCCCCCCAATCTCTCTGCTTTCCTTTCTTCCTGGCATCTCTTGGAGCTCTTGATACCTGCACATAATTCCCTAGAGAGCCAGGGACTGGTGGAGAGTGGAGCCCTCTGTGGCTTTCAGAGCTATCAGCCCTCTCCCGTAGCCTCAGTCAGTTCGCCACGTTTGGCCACAGGGCCCTCATTTCATCGTCCTCCCCACTCCCTCCTCCGTAGCCGCTGCTCTGTAGGGGAGGCCCAGGGTGGGAGCAGCCGGGCAGGACGCTGCAGACACCCCACCCAGCC